GATCATCCGTATGACCAACCTGAAGACTAACCATTACACTAAACTACCTATATAAAATATAATGCCTCAATAATATCGGTTGATGCTCAGACTAGTTTAAACCTACTTAGACACTGGTTGGGTGCTCACCCACGACCTCACGGACACTATCCTACTGATTGCCGTTGCACTTATCGCTGTAACACCCAATCCACTGACCTACTCCGAGTACGGGAATTTTTTCCGGAATATACCTCAGCCCAGATTCGAACCTGGGTCTCCGGTGTGACAGCGCACGCCCATGACCTACTGGACTAGACTGATTGTTGATACAGTACTCCCATGTCATGCCTCCCTACATTGAGTGGACAAGGACTAAATCGGTTATTTCTCGTAAACGGCTCATAACATTTGAAAAATTCTTTCATATTATTACTCAGCTCGACGAGAGGAGTCGATTGGTACTAGTTTCAGGGTGATCCTTAGGGCCATTAACGAAATCGGCTTCGTACTCGGTCTTTTTTGCTGTGAATTCCTACCGGCTATAATGCGCGCGCCCGGGGCCCCTCCCCCAGCGCGCAAAAAGAGGCGAAAAGGGAGGAGCGCTCCATCCACCGAGCCAGGTCTTGCAGAAAGATTTCCACTGACTTGCTGAACAATCGGCGACTGACTCGCATGCAGAGGAGCAGCTGTCAAACGACGTTACCGCAGCACCGCATGGGACAGCTCCGCTCGAAGCAGCAGAGCCCACGTCATGGCATATGTTGTCCTCACCACAGTAGCTGAAGATGCAGTCGGGGGATGCATCACAAAGACTTTGACAATAACCACCATCGGCGGCATGAAGCTTCTCGGCGATTATGAGGGCAGACCCGCCGACGGCTTGACGGATGACTAAGGAGGCCAAAGTGATGAGGAAGATGACGCAGTGCATTACACGAAGTTACACTTCTGTGGCATATCGCGTATTTGCTTACAGAGGAAGAATCTACCTCGATGACTCATACGGATTGTTGATGAGCCCAACGCAGGCACAGGAATGAGCATGACAAACGAAACTGCCCGGTTGTCCCACTTGTGTGACGGCGAGCGATAGTGGAAGTCGTCAGCCTATGTCCACTTGTGCATACCATTCCTTCCGAGACTTGGACGACAAGGGAGCATATTACTAATATGATATTAGAACGCCCTTCGTCCTGGTGACTATCGCCGTTCTCCAGCAATGGCACGAAAAGGAGGGTAACTCAAAAGTTGCCGTCCGTGTCATGGACTCCATGAGCACTGTTATCGTTCGTTTAAGCTGTATGTATATATCTTCAGAGGAACGAGCACGATGCCGAGAGACATGCTAAGGACTAATTATTGAGCAGCAGCTGGACTTGCAGTCACATTATGGAACACGAGAGTTACCGAGGGGTTCCCAATGAGAAGCGAGCGAACATTTGGCAACAAATATCAACCAACCCTCCTCTCGCCATCCAATAAACGAAAAAAAAAACTCCAGACGAATGTCCGTGAGACGAAATTTGAAATCCTTACACCCGTTTCCAACGCGCTCTATGCCACGGACCGGAATTACTTCATTCCAGGAGACTGAGAGCTGACTCGGATCTTTGCAGGTGAGGAGCGAGGAGAGGGAGAAATTTCCTGACTCCCTGGTTTGAAGGAAACACGAGTTGCGGTCATCATCTTAATGAGCGCGGTCTTTATACACGGATCTTTGACGAGGCATAGAGTGCTGCACCATCATGGAAGGAAAATACAATTATCATAAAGCATGATACACCGAGTCATGCGAGTACAACAAATCATCATGACATGTCTTATACTGCGAACTCGGTCGACTTAATTACGGCCACCCTTTCTCCTTGGCCGCCGCTTCATCCCTTTGATTCAGTCTTGAGTCGTCCAAGAATCCGAAGAGCTTCGGTCTAGATCCAACTTCGAGGCTCGCCATCTTCAAGTTGCTGCCAGTGCTTCAGGTCCAGTCTTCTCCAACTCCCTCCGTCCTTCAGGTTCTTCTCTCGAGGCTTGACCAACAAGAACTGGATCCAGCATATGGTAGAGTGCCAGGGTAGGTACCGGTAGACATGTCACTGGTCAAGATTGGCCCAGGTGCTGAGGGACTCAAAAGCATGAGATCCCCACCTTCTATGCGCAGGTACAACATCCCGGAGGGTAGGCGCAAGAAGGGGCTGACCCATTGGAGAGGTCAGAGCAGCATGCATCGAGGCATCAGTCCCTTGGTCCTCTCTAACCCTAAAGGTTAGCAGAGGATGGAGCTAGGCTCTCTTGTCATTTCTTTTCTGGTGCTCGGGACTTGAGTTCATATAGTAAGAACTCGCACCGTGCTCAAGGCACAGACCACAAACCTCTGGCGTAGGCAAGATCCAGAGGCGGGTCTTAGCGACATTAGAGATCGCAAGGACCAAGTGACAGTACCGGACACCACACCACTAGACCAAGGGGCACGAAGCCCATCACCCGGCTTGATTGTTAGACATCCCGGAGGGTAAAGCCTGCAGTGACCCAGGGGTAGCTTGCCGCGCCCTGGCATGGTCCGGCCCATACATGCCGCCGGCATGTATGGGCCCCATAGCCTTTACCAGGAACTTGTGGACAGCGGCCTCAAGAGCAAGACACATCCAGACTTCAGGAGTTGGAGAGACCTGACCATCCACACCAGCGAACAACTATCCAACAGCTCACCCTTCCGCTTTCTCCTTCCCTAACCCTTCTTCATCAAGTGGCCGATCTCGGACTTTACTCTCCAGGAATCGGCGTTGGACGCCAGAGTACTCATGGAAAGGACAAAAACAAAACTGTCCTGGGCCTTGGATGAGCGCCAGCAGAGACGCTGACGCCATCAGTCCGCACTGCTAAGGGCTGAGTCTCCGCTTCTCGGAGATTCTTCAGCCACTCGAAGGTCAGGTTCGCCATCTTCAGTAGGGAAGGACGATACCGACGGTCGAGGATCATCTTGTAATTCGCCTTCGGCAGAACTCGCGAAAGCTTCGAGTCGCGTCGGGCACCGTCCAATAAAGGACAGTCTCGTAATAAGTGCTTCACATCTCCGTTGTCCCAGCCGCAGGGACAGGAAGGATCGGCTCCGATGCCCATCGTACACCGGT